GCTACTTATAGGGTGGGTGGATTCCCTGACGTAGACGTCAAGATCACCAGCCAATCAGGATTGGCGTAATGAGATTGATGCTTCTGTTAGCATACACGTTGAGGCGCATCCCCATAGTGAGACATCGAAACGGAGTGTTATGAATGAGAACAATAAGTGTGGCTTGATATTGAGTAAGAAAAAGGTTTATAACGCTGTGAGAATGGGTCTGCGGAGAGCATTTCTCCGCGATCCCAACTTAGCAGTCCGAAAAACGTTTACCCATTTAAACAGTCGTGGTAGATACCTTGTTTGTTTTAAACATCATAAATACACAAACAACAATGAATACTTACAGGTTGTGTACCCGAATCTCCTGCTGGTCCAAACAAAGTAGGAACAGCATCGTTCTTCAGTGCCCTGCGCTGTACATATCCGGCATGAATCGCTGAAAGGTTGGGAAGCTTTGTTTCGTGAAAGGCTGGCAGAGGGTGCGGCCATGGCTCTGTGCGTGGCTACTGGGTATCCCTATGTAGCGATACCCATGAAGTAAATGAGAAATCTCCAACGAGGCGTTTTGAGGAGGTATTTTCTGTGTTAGAGTTTTACTCCCTACAGGGTGTACTTTGAGGGTTTTGACTCTGCAGACCGTTTACATGCATAAAAAACTTCATAACACACAAGGGGACGGGTAATAACCGGAAAAGCATGACATGGGACCTTTAAAAGACCTAAAGGCCGATCTAGGTATTGCAATGGAATCGTGTTTTGCTTAGATTTTTTATTTCTAGCCCACCTTTACATATTACAGTAAAACTCAATGTGTTTAGTTGGCACATTTTACACACTCAATGAACAACACATTCCCAAATAAAAAACTGTTTTATAAGTATAATCTGTTTCATCTCGAGGAGAAGAAAGTAACTTTAAAATAAAGGTTAAATATTTTTGGTAAATAGACTAAGTGGCTTCTGATGAATATTCCTTACACTCTGATGTTTATTTGCTAAATGTGAGGAACTTCTTGGAGTCCTGTTGTCACTGTGAGGTTGCCAACCTTCACTGACTGTGAAACTGAGCCAATTGGCGGCTGTCTTTCACTAAATATTTACCAACATAACTACGAATTCCTTAAGATTTGTTGCTGCGGTACAACTCTGCAATCACAACTCTCTTTTCTCTTCACCAACACTTTCTAACGGTTTTAATTTTATTTACGTACAATTTAGTGACTGTTGGACCTCTTCAGTTGCAGTGTGTGCTGTGTTTCAGGTGCAAATTACTTCACGATTAGCAGGTCTAAATCTCTTAAGCTTTTTTTTTATTTTCACGATAAGATTTGAGTCTGAAAAAATCATCCTTTTAAATCTCCTTGTTCATTGGTTTATTTAGTGGATTTGACTTGCTAGAAAGGACAATATCTTGGTTTATAAATGTTGGTCTTTATCAATTAATCATGGTCATAAACCCAATTTAATGTCAGTCGTCTGCAATGACTGTTGCAAAATGTGTGAGCTGTAGGTGTAAAAAAGGAAAGCCATTATTGCTGTCACATTAATTTTACAATGTCACCCCTCCGGAGGAAGCGTGAGGCCCTCAAACTGGATCATAAACTCTTTGTTTAACTTCCCTTTTTGGACGATCTCATTGCTTGCTGTTAAATAGATGATGACTATGGTATGATGATTTGCAAAAATGATGGTCTTGGTAATGAATGACTAAGGGTTGTTTTAGCTACTGGAAGGCAGTAGGTAAGGTAGGAAAATATAACAATTACTATTTTAATTTAAACTTTTAATTCATTAGCTGGCCTTCTGTTTTTTTAACCCCAAAATAAGCCTCATATTACCAGAAACGTTGTGACCCTAAGGTTGGAGACTCTTCAACCTGCTTTGGTGTTTTTTTGCTACGTAGTATTTTTTACACTCCGTCTTTTTTAAATGTCTCCCTCTGCTTCATCATTTCCTCTCTCCGTCAGACCCACATGGTCCATCCTTCACCATCGGTAAGGCCGTCTGGCTGCTGTGGGGTCTGGTGTTCAACAACTCTGTGCCTGTGCAGAACCCAAAGGGCACAACCAGCAAAGTCATCGTCTCAGTGTGGGCCTTCTTCGCTGTCATCTTCCTGGCCTCCTACACTGCCAACCTGGCTGCCTTCATGATCCAGGAGGAGTTTGTGGACCAAGTGACTGGACTGTCTGACAAGAAGGTGCGATCACACACACACACACACACACACACACACACACACACACACACACACACACACACACACACACACACACACACACACACAGAAGAAACTAAACACAGTCACAGTCAGGGTTGCTCTTGTAATGGATGCCAGCCCTGAGGCCAGACAGGGCTCTCCAGGGAACGCCCTTGGGCTTCAACAGCCCTAACCCTCTGGCCGTAGCTCTCACCGCACAGCACTGCCAGCTCAGGCTGCACATGGGCTGCATGGATCAAAGACGTATGTGTGTGTGTTTGTGTTTGGATGTGTGTGTGTATGTTTGCAGAAGCTGGCAGTGTCAGCAGAACCCCAGCCAGTCGTACGCTAGACTGGACACACGATGATGATGACTGATGAGTCCACTCCACTGTCTCTCCTGCCTCCTCTCTCCTCTGTCTCCTCTTGTCACTCTCCTTCCTCCTCTCTCCTCTTCCTGTCTTTTAGTTGAACTCCCTCTCTTTTCTCAGACTCTCTTTATTCTCATACTTTTCTCAAACTTCTTGCTGTTTTTCCCCTCCTCTCTTTTAGCTTCATTGTTTCTTCTTTTGTGTTCCTTCTGTCAATTTCATCTTTAAAGTCTTTTTTCTACCATTGTCTTTATTTATTTTTCACATTGGACGACAACACAACAACTAAAAAAAACTTCACGACGATAAAACTATGAATTATAGAAATTCAATTATAAGTGAATGCAATTAATACAAATAAAATACACAATTTATTTTGTCTCAAATTAAATGTGTCCCTCTTTTCCCTTATTTCTCTCCCTGCAGTTCCAGAGTCCGTATTCCTATTCGCCTCCATTTCGCTTCGGGACGGTTCCTAACGGCAGCACCGAGCGCAACATCAGGAAAAACTATCCGAATATGCATCAATACATGACCAAATACCATCAGACTGGCGTTGTGGATGCGCTGGTCAGCCTCAAGACTGGGTACTGTGAACTTGTCAATTCAACCGATGTGAAGTTGAGCTTTATCATACCTGAAAGGCTTATTCTGTTTGCAGACAGCTAGTATTCATAAGATCATGTGAAAACAAAGAAAATAAATACATTGCATCACACCGAAACCCAGCCCCATGGGGCCCGACTTTATCTCATGCTAAAATGCTGCAGAACCTATGCTCAGTGTTTCTGTCAGCCCCTGTAAAAAGCAGACGCTGCCTGCAAGTGCTCATTATTGAGTCTGTTGCTGCTGGAAAGAGGGAGCTGCCAAAACAGGGAGAGAGTAATTTGATCTGGAGTTTCCTTTATTCTCCCTCCTAAACATACACTAATGGAAGGATGGCTGCAGTGCTTTTATTTGTTCATTAGTTTTGTGTGCTTTGATCTTTGGGGTATTTTCCTCAAATATAATTGTACTTTTTTGCTTTTCCCTCTCTGCAATTACTTCATTGATACTGCCTTTTCAAGTAGATTATGTTTGTTTCTCATACCTTATACATTAGGCTTTGTTTATACAACATCAAAACTGCGTTTTGTTTTCAGATGGTCGATGCACTTTAAATGAATTTTTCAGTGCATATTCGCAAAACAGATACTCAATGACTGCATTTAACATATGCCCTTTGGTGAACAGTTTAATTCAACGTGTTTAATATTAATGAATAAATCTCTAACATGGAGAGCCCCAAGGGGGTTGATTAGCACTGGGGTGTATTCATTAGGTTATATGTACACTAAGACTTATTTTTGCTGATAAATAAGTTATAAAAAGAGATCTGCAGCTCGTGTTTCATTTTGTTTGGTTAATGGTTATTCCTCATGCTGGTGTTTTTGCTGAGCTCAGAGGTTACATTCCCACACAGGAGGACTGTTGAGTCGGATACAAATGATGGCTCCTTAGCTTGAATTCAGCTTGTCTTGTCAAAATGATGACAAAACCTACAAGTAAAAGATTATCTCTCAGTGTGAAACAAATACATCATCGTGCGTGTAAATATTAACTGCAGCAGCGTGCAGGCCGGACAGTACTCTGTGCCTGTGATCCATCATCTGATCTGAATGAGAATTTCGGCTCCAAGAGGATGCAGTTGTTGTGATTAATCCTACGGGTTTGTTTATGGATCTAATTAACATTGCTACTGGCACCACAATGTGTACATAAGACTCAGCAGTGTTGGGGTCTTTACCACTGAATCCTGATGGATCACATTTCACATTGTCTTGTTTTAAAATACATTGTGGTTTGTTTGTTTGCTAAGCTAACTGTATCCTGGCTCATGTTTCACATTCATTAGACAGACATAAGAGAGCTTTCAATCCGCTTTAACTCTTAGCAATTAAGCAAATGTGTCATAGATAAGACGGCGCCAGCATTGTCCTTATTACAAAAGAAAATGTGAAATGTTCAGGACAAGCAGTTCATTCAGAATTGATGTCCTCTCCCCAGATGTAGCTAAATATGGTTTTATATAAGCCTGGATAATGTAGGCAACAATATGCACTTTATCTAAGATGAGAGAAGAAATGTTAAAAAAAAATGTTGCTGCAGAAATATTTTAATTTTCTGCCCTTTCATTTTAATAATGTAATGACCCCTCAGATGAATCATCCAAACTCTGGTGCATGTAGTAAATCCAGAATGTGTGGTTCTCTTACAGAAAGCTGGATGCTTTCATTTACGACGCTGCGGTGCTGAACTACATGGCGGGCAGAGACGACGGCTGTAAGCTTGTCACCATCGGCAGCGGTTACATCTTCGCCACCACGGGTTATGGTATCGCCTTACAGAAAGGATCCTACTGGAAACGCCTGGTCGATCTGGCCATACTGGGCATCATAGGAGATGGTGAGGAGCCCGCACATATCCTCATTCTGCAGCAGATCAGTCACACTGCATTGAAGTTTAAGTTTCTCAGATGTTTCCAGCCTTTAGTGTTATTACAGTTGTGCCAATGCTCAGCTTTCCCTCCTCCCTTACCCTCCCCCAACACTCTCCCTCTCCTCCCTCCTTCTGTCCGAAAGCTATTAGGGGCTAGTCTTAACACACCATTTCATCATCATTACTCCGTGTGTGTGTGTGTGTGTGTGTGTGTGTGTGTGTGTGTGTGTGTGTGTGTGTGTGTGTGTGTGTGTGTGTGTGTGTGTGTGTCCACCCACCGGGTCCTGTAATGTTTACTCCTAATAATAAGCTGTGAGATGGTGCGAATGCAAGAATGAGCCAGACAGAAACCAAATTGCTGAAACCACTAAAGCGTCTCGATTCACACCCGTCCTTTTTATTCAGGGCAAACGCCCGCGTGCCCGTGCGGCACACAGAAACACTCAATCTGATAAAATTCCTCCCATCTTTGCTTATCACTCCATCACTATCAATTCTCTCTCCTTCTTTCTACAAACCCCTTTTCTCACTCCACCTCCTGTCTCCTTTCCATTACCATCTATTTACCACTTCACTTCTCTCACCTCCTCGCTTTTCCACTCCATCTTTCTTCGTAATGATACGCACTTTTTCCCCCCAACACCTTTCTGTTTCCCTCTACCACCCATCCATTCCTTGTTTTTATCAACCACAGTATTTTTATTTTATTTTCTTCCTCGCCCCTACCTGCTGCATTCTAAAACTTTTACTTTACCACCTTTCCAACAGGTGAGATGGAAGAGCTGGAGGCGCAGTGGCTGACTGGGATCTGCCACAGTGAGAAGAACGAGGTGATGTCCAGCCAGCTGGATGTAGACAACATGGCGGGTGTCTTCTACATGCTGGCCACAGCCATGGGCCTCTCCATCCTCACTTTTATTTCTGAACACCTTTTCTACTGGAGGCTGAGATACTGCTTCACTGGCGTCTGCACTGGGAGGCCGGGTCTGCTCTTCACTATCAGCAGGGTGAGGAGAGGGAAAAGTTTAATTTCCCTCTGCAGGAACATCGTCCAGTTCTCTCCCCATCCGCTTCTGAGGCAGTTCCCTCAGATGTTACTCTCTTACTGATCAAACACCATCCTCCAGAGTGCAGCTGATGTACAGCATTGATTCAGGCTGTAAGAAAGCGCTGGTTGTTGCAACATCAATATCAGGACTCGGGTTGGGAATCTTTTGTAACGTTATTGACAGTTTTAAACACGAAATCGGACTCGCAGACTACTTTAAAAGAGTATGAAATAAAGTGAGAGAGCAGTGAACAGAACAACTGCAAGAGGAACAAAACCTCACTGTATTTTCAATGCGGTTACAAGGCAGAAATACAACAGACCAGCACATTATTGCGACTTTGAAGGCAGCCGCGGAGCCTTTGTGGTGTTTAACAACATCCATTCAAACATCACAGTAAATTACATAAATGATTACTCTGTTGTCTGTCTTGTTGTGTGCAAAAATTGCATCTCGAACAAAGCGGTCTAATTTGCCTAATCTTCACAGTTCTTCAAACGCAAAGGAAACGCACATAAAGGACCTTTAGTCGCGTGAATGCCTGAAATGTGTCTGAAATGTGATTGTGTGTTTGTGTCTTTGACGCACACACAATAGTTACTGTTAATATTAAGAAGGAGTCTGGGTATGTGTGTGTGATAAACGAGAAAAGAGGAGGATATTGTGATTATGGAGCCCAGCTGAGGAAGAGATGGATTTACTGCTGTGCATATGGATGACAGGAGAGAGGAATCAAGCTATAAGAGGATGATGTGAACACACACTCGCACAGTATAGACACACACACACAGAGCTTGCTCTCTCTCAGCCACACACATAAGTCTGTTCTAAAAAAGTTTAAAAAATGGAAATACATATGCAGGTGCTGCGGGGTGAGGGATGGGCTTTACCGCTCTGGGATACAGAGAGGTGGACGCGCACACATTTAAAACTAAATATTCACACACACACAAAACAAAAATGGGCACATTTAGTCAGACCGTTCTTTCATTATTCATGTCCCATGTCTCTGTGTGAGGCAGAGCTTTTATTCCAGACGAGCAGCATTTCACACATTAAATGTTTTACAAAAATAGTGACTGTCTGTGTGTAACTGTGTGTGTGTTAGACGGGGATGCTCAAGGTTAAGTGGCTCCAGGAAGAACATCTCCTTGCACTCAAAGGCCCCCTCCTGTGACATCATCACCTAAATGTAATTTTCTAGGCGCCTCTGAAAGCAGTTAATCTTAAAAAGTGGCGATTATCTCTACTTGCCACATTACAAAACAAAATGAGGTTAGGGTTTGCAGTAAAGGTACAAGAGAATAGGATGCAGAGGTCTTTCTTAATTTACCGTGTTAGGAAACTACTCTTGTGCATGTTTGAACTCTTTCTCTTGTGAAGTCAATAGGTTGGGAATTAACCATTTTATTATCTCTCTCTCTTCCCTGCCTCTCCTTTCCCTTTTTTTCTTTTTTTCTTTCTTTTTGTTTTCTCTCCTCTCCTTCTCTCAGGGTATATGGAGCTGCATCCATGGAGTTCATATTGATATGAAGAAGAAGAATCCTGAGCTGGATTTCAGTCCTCAAGCCAACATGCTGCATCTGCTCAAGTCTGCCAAGTCCATGGCTTTGTCTTCTCCTAAACGCAACGCTGTGCTCTTGCAGCCCAACATCCTAGATGTGATGTCGGGGAAAGGTACTATAACACTTGTACACCTCACAGCATATAGTGTACATTTATTTTGTGTATTTTACCTCCTCACAGAGCAGGTAGACATGGCACCATTGCTCACACGTACAGGGGTCACCCTGCCTTTCCTAAACAGTCTACGTATGCACATCTAAAGGTGACTCCTTTCACCTTGTTGTGTAATCGCATCGACTTTCATCTAAAGGCTGGCCTCATGATTAAAAACACATTAGATTGCACACAAACAGCGTGCCAGGGATAGCCAGTAGATAATATATCAAACGGCTGAGCATCCATCTATTGTATCTGCTGTCTGAGGTGCATCTCTCCTTGTCTCCTAGGTAACTCTCTCCATCTGCCCCCGAAGGGTCCTGGTCTCTATAGCAACGCCGCTGGTCCGCACAGTTTCTTGTCATTGTCCGGGCGACATAAAAACCTTCTTAACAATGCTGCGCCGTTCCCTGTGCAACAGAAAACCCCCGCTCTTCAGACGAGCCCCAACAAGCCACAGCTGTCAATCACAAATGACAACGGCAAGACCCGCCCCATCGGGCTGGCCCTCGCTGCCGCCCCACAGGGCTCAAAACCTCGAGCCCTGTGGAAGAAAAGTGTGGAGACGTTGAAAACGCAGCCTACTGTCGTATCTCCAGGCCCAAGCCCCACCCCGGCCGCTGGACCTGGACCCCCACAGATGAAGAGCCAGCGCTACCTGCCTGAAGAGCCGGCACACTCTGACATCTCCGAGTGCTCCAGCCGGCCGCCATCACACAAAGATTCTGATTCGATGGCGGCCAGGGGCGGATTCAAGCCTATTAATCAGCTGAGGAAGAGAGGAGGGGTAGGAGCAGGAGGGGGAAGCGGGGGCGGAGGATCAAAGATCTACTCCATTGACTCAGACCAGGCCAGTCTGCAGTCAGCTCCCCCCTACCAGCGAGACAGCCAGGGGGGAGGTGATGACCACACTTACCCCCCTGACCTGTTTCCACCAGACAGCACATACTCACACACTCACACACTCTCCCACCAGGCGGATGCGCCCATCTTGCAGCTGAGTGCCAGCCTGCTGCACCACAGTCACAGCGCGGAGGCCGACCTGCACTCCCTGAAGGACAAGAAATACAGCACCTACACACACAGCAGGTATCTATCCAGCAGAAAAACACCATGTTTCATGCTGTTACAGGTTTTTTTTTTGTGTGTATAATCCGTGTTATCCTCTCTCCCTGTAGCTCGAAGGACAAAACTGGAGGTTCATTTGAAGCTCCGGGCGGGGGTCAGGGGTCACAGAGCGTCAGACCCGGACACTGTCGCTCCTGCCTGACCAAGCTGAGCAGTTACTCCGGCCTTTACACCGTCCGCTCCCCGGGGGCTCGCTGTGACGCCTGTGCCCACCTGGGAAACCTTTACGACATCAGTGAAGACCACCTGCACTCGCACTACTCCCACACGCACACTCACCCACACAGCGGGGACATGTTTACACACTATCTTCCCCAGAGCGAGCTGGGCCTGGTGGGCGAAGGGGACGGGCTCGTAAGCCACTTTGAGCCCACCCCATCCTCCCCGTCTCCTCTCCCCACCTCTTTGTCGGCCCAGCACCTTCAGCTGAGTCGCCAGCACTCCTATGAGAACGTGCTTCCGGACGACGTTCCCGAGCGCCAGTCGCAGCTGCACACCCACCTGCGGGGGCTGAGCCTGCCCGACAGAGACAGGGAGAGGGAGCGGGAGCTGGACGAGGGGGCCTACGCTAACGTCCTCACCATGCGCTCTGACCGTCCCTTCAGCAGCCGCAGCCCGCCCTCTCCGTCCCCCTCCCACCACCACAGCCTCGACGCCCCTCTGCCGCTCCCCCGGCGCTCCAAGAGTCTCTTCCCCGATCGGCCCTCTCACAACCCTTTCCTCCAGTCAGCGCCTGGCACTACACAACGAGAGCCCTCCCCGCAGTCTGTCACACGCATGCCGCAGAGAAGCTCAGCCCACGAGCTCTATAAGCAGCGAATGCCGCTGTCGCTTACCCTCGGTAACCATGGCAGCCATCACAACAACCAGTATGGCGGCCTTGTCGACCAACAGGTGTTCTACCCTCAACAGGAGTCCCCCGTGGTGGCCTACATGGTCCCACCTGCCGCCTCTCAGCCAATGAGCTATGTGACAGCGCCGCGAGCCTCGAGCGCCGGCGACAACCGGCCCCGGCTCTACCGCCGCATGCCGAGCATCGAGTCTGATGTCTGAGACTTGCACGCAACACACTTATCTCACCGAAACACACTGACACACACGCATGAAAGACAGAGTTGTGTGTGACAGGACCAGGCAGCTCTGATTCTAATCGCATACACGGAAACACACACACACACACACAGGTGAAAGATGGGAAGGACTAAAGGTTAATGGTAATGCTGAGTAAATAAATAAATCATTGTTTCTTTATCGCTACCCTCTGTAGGGCAGGGTTAGGGCCACAGGGACACCTGGAGGCACAATACAAGATGAAGAGTGTGTGTGTGTGAGTGTCAGTGTGTGCACTAGCCTCAAGCTGTGGGCAACGAGGCACAAACTGACAATATGTCCGACAAGACGGATCGAATCCCTGGTGAAATAAAAGAGACACTGTGTACGGAGTTTTAACGGCGACAGTGGGATCTGATGGAAGAACAACACGTGTGTTTGGAAGACGAGCCGACTTGTCCCGCCCTCTCACTAGCCTCTTAGAGATGAAGGGGACTGACAGAAAACCCCTTTCTTTCTGAGAATACACACACACACACACACACACACACACACATATTACAGTTAAACACACCCGCCTCTCCAGGACTCTCCTCTTGCACTATGATTTCTACAGTCAACCCGTATGTTGTCTGAGCCAACAAACTGCACTGCCAGCATGGCTTAAAGAGTAGTAACCTACACTAGAGTAATCCTTGACTTGAATGGAAATTACTTTCTTAGTAATAGACTAGAATGGGCGGGTCAGGGCACAGGTCTGGGAAGAGTGGTGGCTCCTGCCCGCAGATGTACAAACACTCGAACATACACACACACACTGTGTCCGTTTCTAAAGGGGAGGGGAGCAAAAACTACCGACTGTTTGCCTGTAACCGTTGATGTCAGTTAATTGAACATTCCAAAAAGTGGACCAAACATGGCCGCCGGTAAAAGCCTATCAGGAAGAAAGTGTGTGTTCTAGTGTTTCTAGATCTAAAGACATACAGTATAGCATCCTTGCTTCCTTAGCTAGCCTTCAGGTCATACTGCATGCTTCCTACTGCCCTGTGTTACAGTTAAACTCCTATACAGGGTCATATATGCACACACACACAAACACACATATATGCACATACACACACATGCACATACGCAGTAGTCTAGGATAGTAGATTAGGGTGGGTGTGTGTGTCGAAGCTATGAGATAGCTTCTCTTTGTGCACTTTGTAGATTTTATACCCTGCCACCTAACACGGACGTTTGACCAAAAACACTTTTGTACTGAAAAATATGAATATTCTCAATCATTCGCTGGATAGATGTTTTCTTTTTTCTCTTATTTCTCTTTGACATTGGGTTTTAGGGCACCGTTAAGTTTCCATTGTAAGGTCCGAAGTATAACAGTGTTAGATAAATGGGTACAGCATCATACAGTATACACAACTACACATTTGTATCTTTCTTATCTTTTTTTTTTACTTTTACAGTGCTCATCTGCCCCTTACCCTCCTTCCATCTTCCTGGTGGGTGAAGGGGACGGGCTCGTAAGCCACTTTGAGCACAGCTTTTTGTTTAATCTCTTATTTATTAATTTTTGTATCATTCCCTGCTTCCTTCTATTATAGAGTAGATTGAGTATCAGAAGAATAAAAGTTAAGTCGTGGTGTTTAAATCTCAGCATATTGTTGGAAATCACAATATTAGTATTAGTCGCTAGAATTCCTCTAATCCCACACTGGCTCTCGTAGGATACAGTACTTTTATTCTACTACATTTTTATGTTGAATTAAAGAACTGTAGGCCCATTTTCATGTTCCCATAGTGAATTTAGAGGCCGAGTGCATCACTGTTGCAGATTTACTCATCAAATGAATACTCCTGGACAAGCGTCAGAGTAGCTGGTACTTGTGTGGCTCTCTGTTGGCGAGAACACAGCGCTGTGTTTCAGCTGAGAGTCACGTGGCAAAGCAGAGAGTTTGCAAAGTGACTTGTTACAGAGGCAACACTCACTCATATACACACACATACACACACACATATGCACACACTCGACAAGCTAACAATGTGTGTATGAGTGTTCCAGAAATCCATAATCTACTGAGTAAGGGCATTGATTTTCGAACACACGGATTTTGATGGAAAAAAGACTTGATATCCCATTAGCTGAGCGTCTGTCTCTATTATCTTTCTGCTCTATTCTCTTTTCTCTCCCCCCCTCTCTCTTTCTCTTTCTCTCCCTCTCTCTCTCTCTCACACACACACACATACACACATTTATATATATCGGCTGTGAAGAATGCAAGACCGTTTTGAACAACAAAACGCACCTTTTCAACGGTGAACGCTGCCCCTCTTTTTGGTAATCTTAACAGGTTTGGTGTGTGAGTTATATGCACAATATCAGGTTGCAATATTATACTTCTGTACAGAGAAATCTTTGTTTTAAATGTTAGAAACTGATTTTCATTTGTTTGATTTGAATGGTATTAAGTGTTGAATTCATTTCAATAACGACGTGGCTTTTAATTCTGCTTCTTTAGGAAAAAAAAAAAGGAAAAAAAGACTGGCATGTTTTTAGATTCTTGTGTGATTTATTTTTTTCTCTGGTGTGTTGTTGGTTGGGACCTCACTGTACAGTGCTCACTGCTGGGTTAACATGCAGGCTAGTTAACTATCACACCAGTTAACTATAGCAACACGTAGCTGGGTCTCTTATCTGAATCACACTCAATGAATAATGATAGTCCAGCCTGTGTGGTTATAATATAAAACCCCCTCCCACCCACATAGTTCTCTTCCACTATGAGTCTGTGCTGTTTCACCTCTGAGTGTGAGCGTGTGTGTGTGAGCGAGTGTGTGTGTATGTGTTTGACACTGCGCAGGCATTTATATAAGACAGAGGATATGCGTATCAAGAGGTTGTTTGTGGTGGATGTGTGTGTTTTTGGCGTGTGTATACTTTTCCGTACTCTCTTCGGTTTCGTCCCACACATAACATTTGACCCGGCTCTTACTCATATAAATCAAATACAGTTTTACACACACACATGCAAACACACACACACATGTTGCGTCTGTGCTAATGTGGTTAAGAGAACATGTAATGAGATGTGTACGTCCTCCACCATCACACAGATTTTTAAACCAATTTTATTGTTTGATTTTTTATTTTTTATTTTTTTTAATTGCATGACGTGCTTGTGTTTTTGGTGGTACCTATTTTGCTGCAACACCTGAGTTCTCCCTGAGTTGACCTAACGGGGCTACATGTACCAACGTTCCCCTCCATCCTGGTTAGTGCACCTCAACATGAGTGGAGCCCAGGATCCTTCCACAGTCGCACCCCCCCCCTCCTCGCCTGCGATGTCACCAACTTTGTGCCCATCTGACTCCTGAACAACGCTGTAAAGGTGCATGTGGAAAACGTTGGTCCCGGTACAGTTCTCAGTTTGGTGGAGGTGCACACATATTATATACAGTACCGGGTGGAAGGGTTGCGTTTGTGTGTAGTCCTCCAGGTCTCCCTGCCGTGTATCTCACTTGTGTATGAGTTCAGGGGTTTCTAAGCTACTAGTTGTGTTGTAAATAATACTTTGTCACTCAGTACCTCTGTACAATCTGTAAATAAGTAAAGGTTACATTTTTCTACTTGTCTGGGTCTTGTTGATTAATCTATCTATCTATATATCTGTCTGTCTGTCTGCATGTCTGTTTTCCTGCCCAGCAGTGCCTACATGTAACATGATGCATTGCATGCAGGCAGAGGGTCCCCGCTGGCCATTCATGCAGCTGAAACCTAAACCTCTTGCCTGCCACATTTCTTCTGGCGTATAATCTGGCTGAAATAAAGACACCTGACAAAATGAGCTAAAATCTATCCTCGTCCATCACATCCTCTGCACCTATATTTAAAGATGAAAACATTTTGGAGCTAGTTTTCATAACTGGAAAAGAGAGTGAGAAAGGTCTGGTGTTGAGAGCATGAACTGGCTTCCCAGAGGCGGAGAATACAAATCCAAACTACAAATGTAGGGCGGAAAAAATGATTTTGCAGCTGAGCTGAGCTTTCTCACTCAAAATAGCACTGAGGGATTGATTTTTTTTTAATTGAATAGATTTACCATTAAAACTGATTAGACATCCACATAAAAGGTGGAGAATATGTCCTTTAATGTTTAATAATACAGATATGAATGCTTTTAGGATCAGTCATTGGAGGATGCAATATCAAGCTTAAGTTGAATATCTTATTTTAGTATAGCACACAAACCACAAGTTGTAGTTTTTACAGATTAAAAGAACAGACATGACCTTGATTGGTGATTGCCGAGCTTCAGAGATATATGTAGTAATGTGTTGTAACTATTGGACAGAGCCAGTTGAGTTGTTTCTCTTAGCAGAAGCGTCATATTTACCATACACTAATACCCAGATTTTTTTTTATCTCAGTACACCGTCGCCGTGATAAGTATGTTTAATTAATTTTGTTAATATGCCTAGATTGCCTACTTTCAAAGTAATGTATTATATTATTGAGTCAATAATATAATACATTAACCGTGCTTTACCTGAACCTCATCATGACACTAGAGAGGACCGCAGGATTGTAATTTCCCGTGTTCAGTGAATGCAACAGAGGCAAGACTCCAGACCATAGCTCCAGACCAACCAGAGAGTTGAATGGAAATAAACATCTGTCTTATTGGCTGACAGGTACCTATCCTGTGAGCTGTGACAATGTTTAAAATAAACTGTCAGTCGGACTCAGAGTTTTTGAAGGTGGACATAAGAACATATTTTCTTAAAAAAGACAACAATTCTCAAGCGGTGGCTCACACAACAACCCCAGAGCCACCACTTGAGTCAGGTAAACAAGGTATGTAAACGTCAGTAAACTTCCAAGTTAGGCGAACATGTAAGCAAAGCATAAATTACAGCTACGTTGACGTTACTTTGAATCGCAGGGGTAAGCTAAACCGTTAGCAAGTAGCTATAGCTAGCCAGATATATTAAATAAACACTTTGTCATACAATCTAAATGTAATGTTTTTTAGCGTTACCTGGTGATTTCAAAGAAAGATCTCTGGNAATCAGTGTGTGTGTGTGTGTGTGTGTGTGTGTGTGTGTGTGTGAGTGTGCACACACACACACACACACACACACACACACACGCACATTCACACACACACACACTCACACACACACACACACACACACACACACACACACACACTGATTCATACACCCTTGGGTCTGCTGTACCATGCTTCTAGGAAGGTCACTCTGTAGGCCTTTGTACACTCAGGAGATGGGGCTTGTCTGTACATGTGTGTCTGCATCTGTATGGATGTGTGTGTGTGTGCAAATCACTGCATGCGCTTGTGTCTGGCTGCGTTGTCCACCAACAGGTCAGCTGTTTGTTGTCTGCGCATATGGCAGTCTGTGTTTTTCCCACTGAATCATTGATGAGGCTGTAATCTGAACGCAGGCCCTCATATTTCTTCCCCTATGCCTCCTACCATCAGTTAGCCTCCTCCCAGCGCCGCTTACAGGAAAAAACCAGTACGCTGCTGCTCTGACAAAGCACAGACGGCAGACCTGCCCCGGAAACTGAAAGAAAAAACAGTTTGAAATGAAAATAGCGCCACAGTTGAGCAAACATGAAGGATCAGACTGTCCAGAAGGAAGCGGTTTCTTACCTTGTTGGGCAGTTCAGCACGCCATGATGTATGCACACATTCACTTACTTCTTTTTGTGGCACAGTCTTTTAGAGATGTCCTGGATTCTTTGGAGATGCCAGTCATGGAGACTCCCGAGCCACTGGTAGTTTGTTTTGATGAGTTCATTTCATTCTCACCAGGAAATTGGCGCCAAAGGGTCCAACTCCATTCTGCTTCTTTAAGTAGTGGATGGTTAGGGTGTGAATGGTGCTTTCATGTACCAAAAAGTTCAGTTTGAGATACGTAGACCGTCCTTTTTTGCTCTACAGCTGTTAGATCAAGTGGTGACAAGCTTGTTCCTACAAATTTTGAGAGCAAGTCTTCCGATTGTTGTTCATGAGAAAAGACAATGTCAAACAAATATAAAGTAGCCCAAATAGATAATAAAAGGTAACGGGAATTCTGTCTTTCAAAAGTGATACGTTGTCGATAAGTTGCCCTACCAGTGAATTTCTGCTAGACCAAGGCGTGTAGGGAATTTTTTCTTTAGGTGGTCCGTGTGTTGACGTGTGAGGTTCACGGTTGAACTGGATCAGAGCAGTGTGATGTAGGCTTTTCAGCAGCCTGGAAAACATTCACATGACATTTCAGCGTGTCCTCATGTGCTGCTGGTTGTGTTACGCGTGAGGCCCGATGTCTTTTGAAGCCATCTTCACTATGTTCACATCTGCTTTCAACAACACAGCTCGGGTTTACATTCCTCACCTTGTTCCTAATGTTTGAGTCCTCTTCCTGACCTGCTGCACATATTTCATGCCTTGCTGTTTATAGCTGATGAGTGTGAGTATTGTTGTGGCAACGCTTCCTCAGGTCAAGGGTTTTGAGTCAGGCCCAAGTGGATTATTGTAATCTGCCTCGTTACCGACGACTGAGGATCCTTTTTAAAGTCGTTCCTCATGGATACATATCTGCCACTTCAATGTGTGTGTGTGTGTGTGTGTGTGTGTGTGTGTGTGTGTAGACTCAGTGTGTTGGTAACAAGGGGAAGTGGTCTGCTTTGACTTCAGGTTTACACGCTCTGTTGTAGGATAATGGTTTCTCCAGAGGGCTCCAACACCACAGAGTCTGCATGTCTTGTAACACGTTTCTGTAAAAAGGGTGATAACAAAAATGACAGATGCGCTGAAGCTAATGATTTGTTTTATTTGCCATGTGTGCCCCATCCTGAGTGAGCAGGTTGTTTATCACACAGTTAGTCTACTTTTTATTTGGCAGACTGTAATCCAGAGTGGATTACAGTTCTGCTCAACTATTTTTTAAAATCTGCAACTAAGGATTAATTTCATCATTTTATAATCTGCAAATGAAAATCTTGGTTCAGTCGTTTTGTCTGCAAAATGTCTGATGTGATTAATCGGCTATCAAAAGAGTTGCAGGTTAATTTTCTGTCTGAGGAATACTATTTTGAAGTGACTAATTAGACTCTCCAGAAAAACGCGATTCTGCGATCGCAGAATTTACCGCATAATCAGCAAAATGGCGCAGATTTTTAAAAGGCCGCATATTTATCAAAAGGCCGCATAATCCCCGCATTTTTCCACA